CAAAATCCACACAGCCAACAAGCTAATTAATATGTAATATGACTTAGAACTGTAATTCTGTGGTTAATACTAGATAAAACTGAACCATAACATTGCAATCAGAGGAAACTTTGCTAAAGCTCATCAACAATGGAATGATCTTGATGTACATGTACCTCATGTAATATAACAGGGCAATGAATAACTGCTGCTAGCCAATAGTGAAATACAGAACCAAAAATTTCAGCTTACCGTTGAAGACCAACCAACACAATTCCTCTTTATGAAGTGATGTTTGAGTGGTCAATCGTAGAACTTTTAAAGCAGCCACACACTGGTAAACTACATCAGGATTCTGAATTGAAGCATTAAACCATACAAAAAAGATAAAAATGTATTTGTCTAGTCAATTCCATCCTAGTTTAAAGAATGTTCATGATAATAGTTATGAAGCAGGCTAGATTTTCTGATGCGGTTATAAGAATTTTTAGGTTTTGAACCTGATCTTCCAATAATTATGTGAACAGAAGTCAAATGATTCTGCAGTGTCAATAACCAAGCTCCTGACATAAACTGCAGCATACACAATAATAATGTGACTATCTTTGTTACTGCCTTTTATAACCAACCTTCTCAACTATCTTTAGTATTATACTACAAGTAAAGTAAAATGCAAATCTGTGATAACCAACACCTCTAATCTTTCTGCCTGTATGCTATTTTCTTTCTTTGCATTGGCATAAAAATGCACTTAAATGGTTACATCGTCACCAAAGTATGCAATGGTAATACAAGATGTTCAGGTAAAAACTACAAAATATCAAAAAATTTTAAATACAAGTTACATGTTAAGTTCTAAAAAAATTCTTAAGCTGCAAACTATGGGCATGGATGTATATCACTATGAAAAAGATTATTTCAAAGCACTGGGTTTTGCAGTTTATCAGCAATTTCCAGTCATTGTATTAATTACGAAGGGAGCTGCTGTGTGCAGGCCACTGAGTCTGTAAAATATACATGTAAGGTGAATAATTATACAACAGTTAACAGTACCTGCAGTTTTGGGTCCTCAGCGCTGTTCACATGATAGAAACAAATAGCTTCACCAAGAGCCGATCTCAGCTGTCAGGATTGATAATTAATACAAAAAAAAAATTAACAACAACAACATCATGAACACTTCCTCGCTTTCTTATCATCTAAAACAAAAATAACTGAAAGTAACTTAAATAATATTAGTCAGGACTAAAAATGTTAAGCCAGCTGAGCTATAGTAATTGGTAATAATCATAATTAATAGGGAATCATCCCATCAGCTGTAAGGCCCTATTATGCACACTTTTATTAAAAAGCATTTAAAAAAATTTTTGTTAATAAATGACTGGGCCATAAGCTACATGTATGGAGAGAGCAGGTTGAGAAAAAGGCACACTCCTCTTTACGACAGATGAGCTTTTATTTGTTTTGTTTTGTTTCCTTTTTTTTCTTTTTTTTTTTTTGCAATCTTGGCCCCAGGTACCTAATTTTTACTTATTATAAATGACAGTAAATGAATGTTAAATGTAGCTTTGTAATTTTTTTTTTTTTTTTTTGTAGTGTA